TGTGGAGGAAGTAAACATCCCTGCAGCTGACAGTCAGTAAAGAGAGGTCAAAACAACCTGCAGAGACAAACCTGCTGACAATTAAAGAAGTCTGTACAGGAAAAAACAAACATCAGATGTTGTTTTGTTCCACTGATACTGTCTGATTCTTACATTGTTTTCCAAAAAGAAGACACACATGGACCTCTACACAAACACTCCACAGCCCCCTGGCTATGTCCCTCCCTGCCCCACTCCTCGTCCCCTCCCACTCCCTGACACTTGACTGTATAAATATCCTCCTCGCAGCATGGGATTCAGACACTGACCTGCTCTGACCAGCGAAACTCAGGAGACCAGCTAAAGAAATAGACAACAAAATCAAATAGGGACCATCTACTGAACAGACAAGGATAACAAGTTGCTACATTTTCCAAAAACAGATCAGCCTGAACATCCAGAATGTGGCTCCAGGTGTCTCTCCTCTGTCTGTCCTGCTTAACTCAAACCCAGCAGGCCCAGGACAGAGCGTCCCTCCGCCGCTCCAACGACCACACCGGGCGCTGCCACTACAGCTTTACCGTGCCCAGCCCAGAGGAGTCCAGCTGCTCCGGGGGCAGCATGAAACCAGAGATGGATGGAGTCTCATCCCGCCTCACCCTGCTGGAGGCTTTAGTCACCCGTCTATTAGCTGGAGAGGACGGAGGAGCGGGGACTGGGCCGAGGGCTAAGGGTGAAGAGGAGGTCCAGGAAGCGTACTCCCAGGTGACGCGGGAGAGAAACCAGCTGCAGCAGGACAAGGAGCTCCTGAGCAGGCAGGTCCAGGAGCTGCAGAGGAGGCTGGCTGAGCTGAGCCAGGAGGCAGAGACCCTCAGCCAGAGACCCTGCCAGCAGACACACACCTCAGGGGCCAAGCAGCGGGAAAACAGACCTGCCAGTGGTATGTACACCTGCGAGGGAAACACACACAAATCAGAACGGGAACTCTTTTAATAACAAGAGTTATCCAAAAGATAGCATTTGGGGTGTGGACTAGCGGGAGAGATTCACCTCCTTTGACACCTCTTTGTCAATAAATGCATGTGTATATTCAGACCTAATGTGTTTAGGTCCTATGCATATGTGTATAACATGAGTGTACTATGTAGTGTACTGTATACTAACAGAGAGAAAAACTGACTTACTAACCCTGACCCTTTTTTTCCTTCATTTTCTCTTAACGACTAAATTGTGTTATTCGGGGGAAATAAAGATGTTTAGTTGCTTTTCTCTTTTGTTTTTTTCCGATAAATGTATTTGCGGTTGACTTAAGCCATTAGAAGTCTTGTGGGGCAACGAGTCAGGTTGCAGTAAGATGTCCCAGGTTAAGCCAGGGGGGTCGGTATTTACAACACAGACTCTTCTTTTATGGCTTTGTCATTCATGCATGTCTGCTTATGTGCATGTGATCATTTTCAGCAGAGTAATGGCAGGGTTATAGGGGGAACCTGCTGTGCTCCGCGGCTTATAAACGAGACACTTTGATGTGTGGATGGACTCAACTGTACATTACTGCTAATATACTGGATACATTAATTATGTTTCGACAAGTTATCCTTAACATTCTTTCCCACTCTGTATTTTTTGCTTTCTTACTCTTCACTTTTCCAGACCCTGCATATGATTTAGGGAATGGTGCATACCAGGAGATGAAAGCAGAGGTTACTGAGGTTCCAGCATCCCAACTCATTCCTGAAGGAAGTCCCAACTTCACAGGTAAAGTTTGTTTGTTTTTTGGCCAAGACATGGGATTCTCCCAAAGAAAATCCCAGGACAGATGATAGAACCAGCAGAAACCAAAGCATGATGACACATCACAAATGAGTCTTTCTTCAGCTGCCATTTCAGTTTGCTCAGTTCTTTTCTGATCCAGAAGTCTCAAATGCTTCCTCTGGTAAAAATATTTAGTCTAAAATGACCTTGATCTAAAAAGTGCATCGTAAAAATTTGGCTTAAATACATGTATAGCCAATTTATGACAGCTTCTGGCAGGCAAGCACCAAAGGGGAAAACTGGCCATTACAGTCGACTGAATGAAACAAACTGACCTTAATTAAAATAGCAGATTTCAGTTGCTTGAAAATTGTTTGAAACATTTGTGATAGGGAAGTACATAACTTAACGAAGCAGATAACAAAGAGCTTGCCATTTTGAGACAATTTAATGCTAAAATGCAACATATTATGCCTTTAACGCTCTGTTCGTCCTGCAGGCTGTGGAGAGCTGCAGTCAGTGGGAGACCCCGTGTTGCACAAGAAGGCTGACAGTATCACAGGGAAGTATGGAGTGTGGCTGCAGGACCCCGAGCCTCAGGGTCCCAATTACAACAACAAGACCGTGTGGCGTATAGACACAGTGGGTAAAGATGTCCGCCAGGTCTTTGCGTATGAAGACATGGATCAGTTATCCCAAGGCTTCCCTATGAAGGTCCTGGTCCTGCCGGAGCCAATGGAGAGCACAGGTGCCACCATGTACCGCGGCTCCCTTTACTACCAGCGCAAACGCAGCCGCAGCCTGATCCGTTACGACCTGACCTCCGAGCGCCTGGCCTCCCGCCTGGAGCTGCCTCACGCCGGCTTCCATGGCCAGCACCCTTACTCCTGGGGCGGCTACACCGACATCGACCTGGCGGCGGACGAGCAGGGTCTTTGGGCGATCTACAGCACCAACACGGCAAAGGGGGCAATTGTGATTTCCAAGCTGGACCCCGAGAGCCTGGAGGTGAAGAGGAGCTGGGAGACCAACATCAGGAAGAACACAGTGGCCAACGCTTTCATAGTGTGTGGACGCCTGTACACCGTGGGCAGCTACACCGCGCCCAACACCACCATCAACTATGTGTTCGACACGGCCACCGGCATGGGGAGGGCTGTCTCTGTGCCCTTCAAGAACAAATACCGCTACAACAGCATGGTGGACTACAACCACGCCCAGAGGAAGCTGTTCGCTTGGGACAACTTCCACATGGTCACCTATGACATCAGACTGGGGAAAGCGAGTAACAGCAGCAGCTAAAGACTAACGGCTGTTTACAGGACTGTGCTGATGCAAGTGAATGAGATGAGACGTGATAAAGTTGCATTGTACTGAGGTTACTGCAAAACTTAGTATGTTTTGCATTACTAAAATAATGTGTTTTTTTTTACTACTTTTGTAAATAAGATCCATGGCAATGAAAATCTATGCATAAAGCATATTAGTGTACCTTATTAACTCCTTGGTTATTCAAAACAGTTATCGTGGTTTAAAATATTTTTGTTATCTGTTTATAAATGTTTTCTTTGTTTAATTTCTCAATAAAAAAAGGTTAAATAAACCTTTTTGTTTCATATATTTAGTTTATTTAATGAAAAAAAGTATGACCCCAAGGTTGTGTCAATCAGTCTGTGGTGTCAGAAATGGTGTATAGAATATTGATATTTGTTAAGGTATTGTATTCAAGATAGACATTCTTACACAAATAGACTGTGTACCAAATACATTGGGATGATGTAATCATGGTATTTCTAAGTCTATTTTATTGTTACCAAAACACAGAATGTATCCTAAAAAAAAAATCTCCATGCTCATCATCTGAACTTATTTACTTTACTTAGTTGAACTGGTGTATATACAGAAATTGTTTGGATAAGGCACTTTACAACTTTTGTTACATTTGTGTAGACTCCACTGATAGTGAAAAATAGATCAAATTGTGACGGTACAACAGATTTAGTTTGTATCTTCTCCACATGCAGTGATATCACTATTATATGTTTGACATGCCATGGCAAGTGATAGGATGAAACATGAATGTGTTGTGAATGAAGTGCATTGTGTATTCAATATAAGACCACTGCATTCACGAAAGTTAGTTTGAAAGTTTAAGAGGTGTTTCTGTGAGTAAAGTCAAAAAGTATCCAAACTGGCGTGCCACATTTGAAGGGGAAGTGCTGGAAATTGTTGGAAAACAAACTGAATATATAAAAAAAACAATAGTTATCTGTTGGTTCCCAGAAGTCCAACCCTTTTCTTATTGGAGTAGTTATCTGAGCCAAAATCAAATCAGTTCAAGTCGCTCACCCAGTGCTAGGTTGAGCATGATCTCCTGCTCTTCCAAACCCTCCCCCCGGAGAAGAGTGTCTAGCGCTCAGAGAGCTCCACCAGCTGCTCCATGGAGACTCCTCAGAGGCGCACACTCCCAGCAGCTTGGTCAGCCAGATACATCGCCAGTAGAAACCGGAGTGTTATGCAGAATATCGGCTGGCTGACGGAAAAGTCTTCAGGTGGCGCTCCAAAGGAAGAGTAAGAACATCTGGAGCACCGGCTGCGGACCCAGGATGCCCGGTTCCCCGAAGATATATCTTTTGGACATTGGTAAGGACATTTTTATTTGCCAAAGTGTAAACAGTAATCTATCAAAACGACTTTATCGATCACCTGTGGTCAGATTGATTGATTGATTGAAAATTGTATTAACAGATTGCAGAATGGGTACAGTACAGCTCAATACACACAATTGTTAAGGGGATGCAGACCAGAAAAATACTTTCGTCTTGTTTACATCAGGGTCCCCCATTTTAATTCATCATAACATATATGACATACATGACATACAGATAGATTACATTTTCATTTTAGATTCAGAAAAAACGTATATCCTGCTCTACTACGACACACATACATCATGCAACCGGTCTGGAGTCCGGATAAAGGGGTTACATTACCATAAATTATCTTGGAGTTTTAAACGTATGATTTCTTCTTTGAAATCTAAAACAAATGCACTGCATCTAAGCAATAAAAGTAAATGTTATCATTAAATTGCCGATAATACATGAGCATATTATCGTGAAAAGTGCTGTGTTTATACAAAATGCTCAACCTTATGTAGGAATCTGGTCTACGCGTGCGTAAATTGGTCATTTGGAAACATCGAGACAACCAATCAACGAAAGCGCACCGCAGAGTCAGATCATGGTTTATTATACGTGTCCTGTGCAGGTCACAGTTGATGATGATGTAAATAGAGAAGCTTCCGTCTCTTCATTATTTAACGCTGTGATCAGAGCTGCACAGAGACGCATTCACGGTCACTCTGAACATGCCGGGGCTGCTGCTCGGAGATGCGTTTCCTAACTTCGAAGCGGAGACGACAATTGGAAAAATGAAACTCCATGAATTTCTCGGTGATTCGTAAGTAGGCTTCTTGAATATATGGATATTGAATGGTAGAATATACTGTTACTGGAATGCGAGAAAGGGAAGGAGCTTCCATTTCCTGCTACTGGTTTCTGACTTCTGCTTTTTGTTATGCATTTAAACGTGTAAAGGTTGCATACATGTGCTAAAGTCAATCAGACGGATGCAAACTCCAGTAAATCCAGAGGGTGACTAAGTACTCTAAAAGAAGTAAACACCACATTGTATAAATATTAAATAACAAGTGACATCAGGACAGCAGAAACTGAAAACCCATATATTTCGATTGTACCTTGGCAATTGGGGAAAAAAACGATGCACTTTTTGAGTTAATTTAGGCCTCGAAACTGATTCACCAGCATTAACTATGATATGATCTTGCTTGAAATGAATATATCTGCACTTTCCTTGTTGTTCGGAGATTGAATCGTATTGTAAGTCGCTTCAGACAAAAGTTTCAACTAAATGATATGTAATGTAATGACAATCCTGCATTCCAAACTAGTTCTCAGACTACACAACAACCCTTTTCAGAATAATATACAGTATATTATATTAAGTGAATTTAAAATTACGTATATATGAATGCGTTTATCATATTCATGTTGTAGCTGATAAATGAGTAGATTTCTTTTGTGTATTTAGCTTGTCAGTCTAACCAAGACACACCATTTCATCTTGACCTAAAATGATACATTATTTGAATTGTCAAAGTAACTAAAGCTGTCAGACACATTTAGTGCAGTTTCTTTATGCAACTAAACATTATTTGTGCAACATTTGCCTCTGAAATGCAGTAGAAGTAGAGAGTACCAGGACATGGAGTTACTCAATTAAACTACAAGTACCCTTAAATAGCACTTAGAGTATGTGACTCAATGTACTTAGTTACTGTCCAATTTATAATATCAAAAGCATCAGTAAGGAGACCAGGTCAAACCTTGAGTCCCTCATTGGTGCAGTCAAATTGCTGACCTCGTCAAACATGTTCATTAATGTCATTGTTTTTGGAACACCAGAGTCACGCAGGTCACTTCCTGTGTCAGGTGCATCATTCAGCTCCATCCTATTGTGCAACCAAACAATAAGCCACAACAGTGACCCCAAAGTTAAAGATTTAGATCAAAAGAGAGGAAACTGGGTCAGACAGAAACCTCAGTTTGCACAAGAATCAAAGACCCTGACTGACACCACCTGACACATCCTCACGTATCTCTCTGTTTATTCCAGATGGGGGGTCCTGTTCTCCCACCCCAGAGACTACACCCCGGTGTGCACCACAGAACTGGGGCGCGCTGCCAGACTGAGCACTGAGTTCAGTAAACGCAACGTCAAAATGATCGCCCTGTCCATCGACTGCCTGGAGGATCACCACAGCTGGAGCAAGGTGTGTCTAACTGTGTTTAGTGCAGGTCCAGCTACACACTGCAATACAGTCATATGCATCTGATGAAACTAGAATGATATATACCCAGATCTTAAAGGGGCCCAATTATGCTTCTTGGGGTTTGCCCTTTTCTGTAGTGTATTGAATGCGTTTTTTGTGCGTGTAAATGATCTGCAAAGGCTAAAATCCCAAAGTTCCCTCCAGAAGGAGTTTCTCTCACACACATTTAGTCAAATTTAATATAAACTGAAAGCAGTTTAAATATATTGAGTCTAGACTGCAATAGCTTCAGATAAAACTAAGTTATGACAGTTAGGAGTTGTCAGGCAACTTCAAATAAGTAAACTGAATATCACACACAATTGTACCTCCTCTGTGTGTGCCACACTATACATACCTCAACATAGTTGTTCAAGATTATTTTATTCAAGACATCAGAGCTCCACCAGTGTAGCTACTAACAAAGCTCTATGTCTCTACAAACTAGGACATCCTGGCATACAACTGTGAGGACTCGGCCTGCCGCTCGCTGCCCTTCCCCATCATAGCGGACAGTAAACGGGAGCTGGCAGTAGCTCTGGGCATGCTGGACCCAGATGAGAAGGATAAAGATGGCCTGCCGCTCACTGCACGCTGTGTAAGAATCTTCACAGTCAAATTCAGTTTTTTTTCTATTTATAGGCAGTAGGGCATGATTTGCACCATGTGATCATTGTGGCAATAACATGGTAAATAATGTAATAATGCTGTCTAATGAATTCATCTCTTAATTTAGATTTTGTGTCTTACCAATTACACTATTCAGTTTTGGCCCAACAAGGGTAAAGCTTAATGCACCCCTGATTAACACTATATTTTAAAGGTGTATTATTAACAAATCAACTTTTCATGTTTATATACAAGAGCTTTCATCAGTACTGGTATATCGTGACACTATTAGGCACATTCAAACATAATATACTCTCATGCCTGTGGAATAATTAGTAGTGTCTCTGTTTAGGTGTTCATCATCGGCCCTGACAAAAGGCTGAAACTATCCATACTCTACCCGGCAACAACCGGACGCAACTTTGACGAGATTTTGAGAGCAGTGGATTCTCTCCAGGCCACAGCAGGGAAACGAGTGTCCACACCTGCAGACTGGAAGGTAGGTCACACCTGTGTGTTTGTACCAATCATTTCAGCAGCTGACTACAGAGATACGATACGATATACTTTATTGTCCCCGTAAGGAAATTTGTTCTGGACTCCGTCCTGCAGTTCCGCATACGTGTACATATACAAACATAGTAGACATTAAGAGACATATCATCAGTCATACACCGTTTGAACAAACACAATACACAGACGCACATACTGACAATGGCGACCTATTGCACAACCCTCATGGCCAACATTTAAAAAGTACATTTGACTACATTTCATTTCATGTAGATGTTAGCTTAATGGACATAGGTAGGAATGAGTGCTTAGCGGTTCAGCCTGCTCTTGGGAACCCTGAATCTTCTACCAGAAGGTAGGAGCTGGAATTCTGGGTGGAGTATGTGGGTGGGATCAGACACCATTTGTTTTGCCTGTCTGATAATGGACTGCTCGTATAACATCATACTGGCCTTCAATGCTTTTCATGTGACTGGGTCAGGCCCCTTCCTACATCCAGGACATGGGTACTGGAAACATGAACACTCCAGCATATTCGCTCCACTCTATATCGGCCAATTGGTTTGGTAATCATTCACTGCGAATGGGACCCAGGTACCCCTCAACAAACAACCTCCCGATTGCTATCCTGACTCCAAAATGGTAGAACGAGCTCCCCATTCACATCAGGGCAGCAGAAAGGATACACAAACTCGGTTGCAGACTGACAAAGAACACCTGATTTTGAACTGACACCTACGTAGCATGTGGTTTTTATTATTTAAAAGCTAACATACTTGCAGGATCTTGCTTTTTTAAATGTGTATCTTCATAGTTAAATGCACTTCTTGTAAGTTGCTTTGGATAACTAAATGAAATGTAATGTGATATTCACCTGTTGCCACACAGAATTACTTTTCTTTTTCATTTGTCTCCCTTCAGCCTGGAGACTGTGTGATGGTTCCCGCCAGCATGCCTGAGGAAGAGGCAGCCGCTTTGTTCCCAGCCGGTGTCTACACCAAAGACCTGCCCTCTGGCAAGAAGTACCTGCGCTACACCCCGCAGCAGTGAGCACGACGGAGACACACCCGACAGTCACTCATTTATGTCACAGTCAGTCCAGCAGCTCTCAATCTGGGACAGGACTACATCGAGTGCTGCTAGTCTGTGTATGCGGTAGACAAAACGCCTTAAGAAATGTGTACGATTCTTTTTTAAATAAAGTGTTTTTAAAGTATGTACAACTCTGAGAATCAAAGCTGCAATGTTCAGCCTACTTTCATAATGGGGATTGTTTTTTTAAAGAAGGGGGAGGCTTGAGATAGGAACATATATTTAATATTTAAAGATGTAGCAAACAGTTTATTGTATAGAAGCTTTTATTTTTCTAGGGTGATACTATCAGGGATAACATAATTCAAATCTAGACGTTATTGTTTATCCACTTCCTCTATTTTCTTAAGAGGAAGTGGATAAAGGTGCTAGTTACACAAAGGATGGCTGCGAGAGGAAATGCACGCTATTGCTACTCTTTTTGAGGAGCAACTATACCTCATGAAACACAGTAAACGAATCAGTGTTTCAAATGTTTGAAGGGGCCCTATTATGTTTTGGGGGGTTTTCCCTTTCCTGTAATGTGTCATGGGTTTCCGTGCATGTAAATGGTCTGCCAAGGCTAAAACCCAAAGTCTCTCTCCTAAAATGGTCCTTTACATAAATGTTGCATTTTTCTTGGCCGAATTGTACATTTCACAGAAAGTTTTCATTATATTTTTACTGTATCTACTTGTAATGATTGGATTTTGTCCCTGTGTCGGACAATCAAAGCTTCTTTTTTAGCCTTACACAATAAATGAGCCTTAACATGACATTTCTAAAAGTACCGAACAGAGGTGTGTTAGCTTTACCCAGCAGCGCCTCCCTGTCCTTTCCCCACCTTGATGTAGTTCTGTTTAAAGGCTCCTCACCGTATCGACAGCATCTCCGTGACCAGCAGACAGTAGGACAGCGGAGGCATTACAAACAGGAAATGGAGAAAGGACAAGCTGTTTAAAAATAAATGTCACCAATGAGTTTGGGCACAATTATATATATATTAGGGCCGGGACTCGATTAAAAAAATTAATCTAATTAATTAGAGGCTTTGTAATTAATTAATCGAAATTAATCGCATTTTTAAATCACATGTAAATATTTGACCTAAGAACAGTGAGAAGCAATTTTTTTCACATGGATTTTAGTATACCATTAGGCGCATTCACACCGCAGTACTTTTCCCACAAAGGTTCATGAGAACTTAGTTCATGAGAACTCTTTGAACCTGGGGGTGGATTAGGCAAATTAAGCCGCTGACGTCACTTCTTCTTCTTCTGCTTTGGGTTTACTGGCAGGCCGCAAACCACTTCACGGCGTATACTGCCGCCCAAAGTCCCCGGCTGGAAGTCCCCGGAGTTAGGGACTGGCTTCAGTAGAAGCTGCTGAGAGTCCCAGCAGCCTTCCGAGTAAATCGCCAGAACGCCGACACCTCCTCATCTCCACCGCTCCCATGTTTTATTTTGTGTTGCCATAAGTTAGTCTCTCTGCGTTTCTGCGCTGGGCTAATGCTAATAATGCTAATGCGAGGATAATAAAATGGCGGCTTCACAAAACTTTTTGGGAGTTTTACGGGGCGTGGTTTGCAATCCGCCCAGCCAATCAGAAATATAGCTCTTTTCTCACAAGAGAGCCGTACGAAAGTCCCTGCTCTCTAGCAGCTCTCTGCTCTCTAGCAGGGACTTTCGTGGGGGTAAAAAGGTTCTCATGAACTAATTTTAGTACCAGCTCTTTTTGGTGTGAACGCGATAAAGAGGCTAACGTCCACGCTAGCTGCTATATGTTTTTGCATTGAGGTGATACTTGAGGCTTGATGTGCTGCGGTGATATGCGAATTCCTTTTTGCATAATTTGCACACAACCGTGCTCTTATCGACGCCTCCATCCGTCCGTTTTTTAAAACAACATTTCCCACTGTTGTTCACTGTGGTTTGTTGTTGTCTGAAGTCATGAACGTTAGTTGGTGCTCCAGTATAATCGGTACGCCTGAAACTCATCCAGTGAGAAACGTTCCGCGGTGCAAAAATAAGTGCGATTAAAATGCGTTAATTTTTTTAACGCGTTAATTTTTGTGTAATTAATTCATCTTAATTAACGCGTTAAAGTCCCGGCCAGGGTCGGCGTCATGGGGGGTCATTCGCGGGCCATGCCCCCCCAAATGAGTCACTGTGCCCCCCCAACGAGCCTTATTGCCAATTTGCCGTTTAAAAAAAAAAAAATCATATAAGTTAAAACGTTTCCACCAAAAGTTTTTTGTGTGAAATACATCAGAAATAAAGAATACACATTTGTATTCTTTATTTATTCTTTATATGAAACACAGCCTGAGGTGTGCTCACTGCTGCTCTCTGATTGGTGTGTTGCTTGACCAATGACCCCGACTTTTGTTTTGTTATCATTACGTGGCTGTGTGTTTAGATGAAAGCCCAGTGGCGATCTGTCCATCTGTTACACTGATTACAGTAAAGCCATCGAAAATAATATGATATACAGTACAGTACAAGTACATGGGTCTCTGTGTTTCATTCAAGCTCGGCTCTCTGTGTGTGGCACGAGCGCATTTTGTCAGTGCGCGAGCGGTAACGTGGAATATTGTTGTTAGCATCTGGTTAGCTAGCTATGCTAACGGATATAAAGAGCTGTTTCTACACCAAGGTGGAGGAGAGTCCTCTCCTGTCAGACTGAGAGGATCTTATAACGTCAGCTCAGTGAGGTAAGGACTCTCTCAGTGTTTAGATAGTTCACTTTAGTGTAGGTTATCTCAGTGGGTCTCAAACGGTTTGGTCACCATTTATGTAAACAAGTATTTGCGAGGAATAGGCTACCTTTATATGATCATTATAGTTATTAAAGAATAAGAGAATAAATGAAAAACGGGTATGAAATACTATAGGACAATAACACAAGAATACCATTTAAAAGGGGAGTGATTAGTAAAATATCCATAAAGAAAAAGTAAATCTGTTTACAGTTGTGTTTCATATGGATGTTGAGAGATGTAGACTATCCATAGATCTCTTCATTTTGCTCTCAAAGTGCACCAGATTGATGCTTTTAACTTCAATATTTTAAAAATAATCTTCCCGGGGGAGCTTGCCCCCAGACCCTCCTAGAGGAGGTTAGGTCCACCCCCCACCTAAAACATGTTCACATGGATAGGATACTAAATACATTTGCACACTTTTCATATGGTGGCCTATGTCCATATGTTTCTGTTTTGGTGATCGTGCCACAGCCGTGCATGTATGCACAAGTCATAGGTGCGCTATACAATAGCACTACACCCTGCAATGTGTGTGAAAGACAATAGACTTTACAGAATGTTTTTTTAAATTGAAGTTGCGTTGGTGTTTGTGTGTTGGTTGTTGACGGCAGTGTGTGCCCCCCCTTGGTAAATGATTGCCCCCCCCATTTGATTTGTTCTAGAGCCGACCCTGGTCCCGGCCCTAATATATATATCATAAAATACATTAGTTTGAAGTGACAGTGAACAATGTCATTTAAATGATTTATTAGGAATACATTTGAAGGTACTGGATGGTGTTGGTCTTTGGACGGAGATGAGGGGCCACTCATGCTGATGTCACCACATTTACCCCCACCCTCCCCCTCCTCTTCATGGAAAGATACAACAGCTCTTCTCCACGGGAGGATTTCTGTCATCTGTTAAGACTTAACTAACAAACTCCCTGACAGAAATGTAGCCTCAGGTTGCTGTTTGTCGTCATCATCAATATCAGACAGAAAGCACCAAGGTTAACACTTGTGATCTCGTTTCCAGTCATTCGTCATCACGATTACGTCAGAGTGAGTCAGTCCCAGCAGCCGAGTCATCTCTGGCTCATGAGGGCCTGGTACTCCCTCTGGTGGGCAAACAGTCGCAGGAACACTTTGTTCTTTCTCTCATAGAAGCTAAAAAAATAGAAAGAAATGACGTGATGTATTTATAATGAATTACATTACTTGAACAAAATACATTTGAAGAATAGCCTCCTATATGCACTTTATCTTATAGGACAATTATATCAGATCAGATAATAGAGTGAACACTATGTTGGCACACATACAAAGGCTGGCTGTTAAATAATACCAAAATCAACACACAGTACAAAATGTTTATCAGGGACCGGTGTGACTGTGCCGGTTCAATATTACAGACGTTTTGGTCACAATCTTTTTATATATACGGTTGACTTTGCATATTTAATAGCAAAGCAAATTGTCTTTCCTGTAGAAATAAAGAAAAGCATATATAAAAAAGCTTTAGAACATCCCAAATGTGTACGTTAAAGGGGCCCTATTATGCTAATTCAGGTTCATATCAGTATGTAGTGTCTCTCCTGGGACATGTCTCCATGCTTTAACGTTCAGAAAGCTCTTTACTTTTTCTCATCCTGCCTGTGCTGCAGCACCTCTTTTCACCCTCTGTCTGAAACCAGAGCCCAGTCTGCTCTGATTGGTTAGCTGGCCGGCTCTGTTGTGATTGGTCGACCGCTTAGAGATGTCCCGCCCCTCATGTTCAATGTGATGGAGCGCTAGCCAATAGAAGTGCGAGTGCTCAATAGTGATGTCACTGTGTTACGGAAGTAAACAAATGACTACAATGTAGGCGTTTCAGGCAGGCATTAGGCACAAGACCGTTCTAAAAGATGTCCCGTTTTACTATGACATTTTGTATTAATCATATAATTTCAAGATTTTTTCGGAATTTGGGTTTAGCACTCGCTGTTACACCAATTGTTGAAGCGCAACCTTCTTTACCAAAACATATAATATGTATCCATTTCTAAAAAGCAAACATTTATAAGAGATGAAATGAAAAGCAGAGGAAAAAGGTAGGAATTAATCACAGAAAAGCTAATAAAAGTTGTTGAGGAGGCCAATATTTGTGTTTTATAAAAAAAATTTTTTTTAAATGGTTGATTATGCATTGAACATTTCCGTTAGAATCTCAGACCATTACAGCAACCATGACTTTCACCAAAATAAATCTCTTTGTCTTACCTCCGGAGCTCGCCGTCAGGCAGAACAACTTTCCCCACTTTAGCCATCCTCTCCATCGCCTCCTAAAACATGAATTGCAAAGACAAATATCGCTCAATAAATCATGAAAGGCACATTTGGGTTTGGGGCCTGGCGTGACCCAG